GGGGTCCCATTTGACCCTGTTCAGGATAGGTCGCCTCACTCAGAACCCTGAGAGTCTCTGGGGCTAGGTAAGTACAGACTGCTAACTGTAAAGTTGGGGCTTCCAAGCCACCAGCCTCTCCACAGCAGAAAGATGAAGCAGTCTGTTTCCATAAAGAGTTCAGCTTTGGAAACCCGTAGGACCGGTCTATACTGTCCTATAGGGTTGGTTCCAGTCCGAACCAACTAGAAGGCAATGGGCGTGGGTTTTTGAGGGGATTTGAGCCCTGGTGCTGTAGTGGTTGCTAACAACAAGGTCAGCAGTCCGAGACTGCCCGCTGCCACTCGGGAGAAAGACTGGGCTCTCTACTCCCATAAAGAGTGACAGTCTGAGAAACATTTAAGGACAGTCCCACTGTCCTATAGAGTTGCTCTGATTCAGAATCAACTCGATGGCAGTGAGTTTGGCCTGTTTTGGGGGGTCTAGACCATGTCATGGGAGACATGTTGTGATCTCCCCAGGCTGGGGAGAGGGCTCAGAGAACCTGGAAAACCAGGTAGGCAGGGCCAGGACGTTGGCACGGTGGACGGACGTCGCTGACCTGGGTTGGGGAGGTGATTTGGCTGATTGTGGGGGTGGCAGGCAGGGTGAGGAGAGGGAAGAGGGTGCTCCCCAGCGAGGCTGTTAATGATCAGTGTTTGGGCTGGGTGGTGCTGTAGACGTGGGAGTCTTCAGAGGCCTTTGGAGCCAGGTCAGCCACTCAGCTGACAGGGTCACACAGCATTCCGATGCCTCACCTTGCTGTCTAACCTGTATCTGCTCAGGCTTTATCAGGGAAGCCCAGTCCCTGTCCCTCTGGCAGGTGGACCGGCTTCCTCATCGTCCCACAGTGACTCAGCTCAGGACTGACATCTCATAGCTGGCATGTCTGACATTCATCTTGTGATCACACTGGCCTAGAGGTGGGGCTGCCGCTGGGGTGGAACGTGGCAGCTACTGAACATCCAGTCACCAGTGCAACCCAGCCGCGGAACACTGGAGGGTACAGGGTCCCCTGGCCTGTGGCTAACCTGTTCAACCGACCAGGGCAATAGGCCAGGTTGGCCTGGCCTGGGAACTGTTTTCTAAGTTAACCTCCTCCTTCTTGGACGTCCAGATGGGACATCCCCCAATCAGCTGG